CACCCCTCCTGAATGAAGTCTGCTGTGTGCCACACTCAGTGCTAAGCACTGGGGAGCCACACTGGACTGTACTTGAGAGCTGGGAGCCCAGTAGGAGATGTAGACATGTAAGCAGATATCTAAGGCTTTGTCAGTATATGAGCCATATGATTGAATATCTGAGTAAATTGCTGTGGGTAGGTAGGGGGCCATATGGAAAAGATGTATCCTCAGAGGAAGTTTGGGAGGCTCCTGATGAGGAGTTAGCGGCTCTCTTGCTGGAAGGAGGATAAAGGCAGAAGAACATTCCAACCCTAGAGAAAGTGTATAGGCACGGAAGAGTTGATGCTTGGGGGAAGGATGCACCTGCACTCACATTATGCTCTAGTTGAATCAATAGACTGAATTAGGAGCTGACTCTGAATCTTCCTTACAACAAAGAAATCTTATAGATTAAGATCATCAGGCTCTATAAACAGGATGGAGTCTGTCCTGTAGGCATGCAGGATGTGTTAGAATTTACCGTTCAACCCAGTACATTGGGGATTTGATAGCTTCAAGGCCAGTGAATTGGACTCCCAGCCCTATGGATTTAGATTTTACTCGTGTTCATTCCTGTAGTTTCATAAGGAATTGGTGGTACGTAAGAAGTACTCTTTAGGGTGGTCTCTACAAAACCAGGAGGGCAGAAAATCATAGGCTGATCAGGGATTTGGGGGGGGGGCGGGTACGGGGGATCGAACTCGGGACCTTGCACTTGCAAAGCAGGTGGCAGAACCACTGAGCTAAATCCCCAGCCCATGATCAGGGATTTTTAAGGATGGTTTTGACTCTTCATGATTCTTGTCTGACCTCCAGTATTGTAAGAAATTTGCTACCTGGAGTATAGGTTCTGCTAGGGAAACCATGAATGGACAGGCCTAGATGCCAGCCCAAAACATTTGCATCCTTTCCAAGAGACAGTAGATAACTCAGTTGGGTGTGGTGACACACACCTCTAATCCCAGCACTGCAGAGGGTGAGGGGGGATGATCACCAAGAGTTCGAGGACAGCCTGGGCTCCATAGTGAGTTGAAGGCCAGCCTGGACTGCACAGCAAGACCTTGTCATTAAAAAAAAAAAAGGCAGTGGATAACTGCCAAGAGGTCTGACCATGGTAGGTGGGGACTTTAGAAAGTTCTATAGAGGCAGTGGGGAAGTGGGACTGGAATATGGGACCCCTGTGGAGTCCCATCTAGAAGCACCAAGATCACAGGATGGTCAAGGGAATGGAATGGCACTGCTAGATGAGAGAGTCACGTTCGTGTTTATCTGGCTCCCAAGTCCCCTTTCTTCTCATTTTCTAGAGGTGGGGAAAATACCAGTCCTGTTAAACAAAAATGGAACAGAAAGTGGAATCCTTGGAGAATGGGATCAACGTCTTCTAATTTCATGGGGTTTTTGAGGCCTGGTTGAAACACATACCCTTGTGTGCACCAGATAGCTAAGTACCAGCCTGTGCTACCATCTTGGGGCTCACTGCACTGTGGCTGGGTTCCTTCCTCAGTCTGCCACAATCCTAGCCCTTAGGGTGCTTCAGTGCCTTGACCCAAAGGGAAGTTAGTGGCTAGCAACTTCCTGAAAGCCCAAAGGAAGGTGAGGTTTAGGCCCTGGCCCTGGCCCTGGCTCACTTCCTGAATTAAGTCAGAACGTAGGACTAGTGGGCTTAGTGGGCACAGTACTTACATATTTGTCGATCCCTGTGTTCTCATAGAAAATTTAAGAGACTCTAGAAAAATAAAAACAAGAAAATATAAATTAAGCAGCTGTCTGCTAATCAACTGTTAGCACTTTTGTTTATTTCCTTTTTATCTTCACAGATAACACAGTACATGTTTTACCAAATAAGAATCATACGGTTTTATATCCTGCTTTTTTTTTTATCTTAGAAGCATCATATCACTAGCATTTTCCACCTAATTACATGGTTCTTGAGCTGTTTTATGGTCCATGTTATTCCTTGATACTTTGTTTATCCAGCCCCCTAATGTCGGACATGTAAATGTATTTACCACATTATTGTCATAATTATTTTGATGGTCACCATCATCCATGAATTTTTACTTTTTTTTTTTTTTTTTTTTGATACCAGGGATGGAACTCGGGTCCTTGTGCTTGCAAGACAGGCAGCGGAACCACTGAGCTAAATCTGCGGCCCATGAATTTCTACTTTTTTTAAGGATTACTTTCTTCTTTTTTCATAACCAAGGTGGTCATGACTCAGTCCGTGTTAGTTTATGTCTCTTCTAATTTTACATTATTATTTTAGTTCACTGAGCTTTGACCTGTTGACTAGTATCAAATTGAAACTGTTTTAAAAGAATGATGAATACTTGAAGGGAATGCTTTCTATGGGTAGTGAAAATATATTTGAACAACATAAATGCAACTTGCAAAAAGATACTTTTTGGTAATGTTTGTATTTGGAAGTAATTTTATCTAATCCAACTGAAGGAACAGGTGTCTGGCTTGCCTTGGCCAGGGCCCGGGAAGATTATGGAATGAGGCAAATTGGCTATTTCAGCAGTTCCACTTTGTTCTCAACTAGCCCACTTGGGCTTACAGAAAATCTCTTTCCTGCATTCCCAGCAGCCTCCATATAGTTTCTGCCTATGTCCCCTGCCTACTGCCCCAGCCTCTCAGGCTGCCCAAGTGGAAGGAAGACGACAGATAACTGACTTGGCTTTTCCTCTGGCCTCCGAACTCCCCTTTTGGTCATTGTGTACCCCCCTTGAACCAGTGGAGTAGCTGCTGGTTGTGATGCTTAGTTCAGGGCATGTCTCTCAGCACCTTTTGAGAAGTATCTTGTCTCTTTTTAAAGTTTTTTGATTGGTACGTATTTGTAGTTCATAATGATTATACTCCTTGTGGGGAGTTGGTACATGTACATAACACATCATAATTCTTTTTATCCCCTTACCCTCTTCTCCCTGTCCCTCCCTTCATCTCTTGATCTCCTTTCCACTGGAGAAAGATCTGTCTGCCTACTTTATGTTATCTGTCTTTTATTTTGCTCTTTATTTCTATTTGGGTCTCTCATATAAGAGAAAACATACAATATTTAAACTTGTATACTTTATGGTCTCAAGGTACATCATCCATTTTCCTTTTTGATTGGGTCTTTTATTTTGGGGGGGTCTAATTTTTTTTAGTTCTTCATATATTTTGGATATGAATCCTCTGTGTGAAAATAGCTGGCAACAATTTTTCCCATTCTGTAGGTCCTCTTCACTCCGTTAGTTTTTTCTTTTGCTGTGCAGAAGGTTTTTAATTTGATATGGTCCCATTTGTGGATTCTTGCTACTAGAACCAAGAATCCTCTGTGTAATTTGGACTCTGCTTCTTGCCTGTTCTATGACTTAAAGAGTTTTACTTGTTTTATTTTTCAGCAGGTTGTTCCTGTTTTAACATTCAGATCTTGATCCATTCTGATTTTAGTTTAGTGCGTGTGAGGGATAGGGGTCTAGATTCAATTGAGAAGTATCTTGTCTCTCGATGCCCTTTCCGAAGTAGTAGTAGAATCAGAAGTAAAGGAGCTAAGTTTGTGGTTTTTGCTGCTTGGAGCATGCCTCTCATGTGGGTTAAATCACAATTTTCTGAATCTATATAGCATATCTTGCCTCACCTCTAAGCCTCTGTCAGGCTCACTGTGATTCTTCTCAGCATTGTAGTGTGATGAAGAGAGCTTGGTCTTAGGGTCAGATCAACCTGGGTTTGCATCATGTGAGTTCTGTGACCCTGGGCCAGTTACTCAACCTCCACCAAGCCTTGGTCTTCCCCTCTGGACCTTGGTGGTCCTGCATGCAAGATGCCGTGTGGATTGTATGGCCCAGGGTGAAGTTTTAGTGAATGAGCCACACTGCTGAGAGAATTGGAGTTCATTTAAATACCCTCTGAACTTTTATTTCATGTTTCACTTCTGCTGACTGCCTGACTCAAGCCATTTACATTTGCACATTTTATAAATATATGCAGGTTTAGAAGACAGAAGGTGCTAACACGTCAATTCCTGACAGCATAGCATGTTTCTTAAATTTGCTTTTGTAAACTTGAATACAAGAACCATGTCAAATTTATCTTCACATCTTCTTGAGTTTCCAGCATGAAGGCTGATTCTGTATTGAAAAACAACAAATAGTTCTTGAATATTTCACTAAAATAAAAGTTCAAGTGCAAATTCAGCAATTCATAGCAAGGTTAGCTTATTTATTCATACATTCGAGTACAGACATGAATGTGTAAGTTCAAATTGTACCCTTAAGTCTGTGCAGCCCAAGACTTGCTCTTATGGATTTTAATTACTTTAAATATCCTCAGTTTCAGCAAGAAGTCAAGTAAACATAGAGGAAGTGCTATAATTGGCCACTCTTGTTGATGTTGAGCATTTCAGTGGAAGGGATATAAATCAATAAAAGATCCATTTTCTATTTTCAGCAAGTGCTTTAAAGATGGGGTTCAGATAAACTAACCTGGCAGTACCCCAGCCCCATTCTGACCATGACCATCTGAAGTGTTGGAAGGCTCCACTTTGGTTGTGGTCTTCTGGTGGGGAATCAAATCCGACCCTAACAAGAATTGAGAACTGAGTAGAGACTTAGCTGATGCACAGCCCTGACTCTGCCACCAGAGTGACAGAACAGGTTAGTTTTCCATCTGTAAGATGAGAAAGAATTCTGTGTCGAAAACATTGCTTTGCATTTTCCTGGGAGGCAATATGGTATGCTGGGAAGAAAACTGTATCAGGAATCCAAAGGGTATATCTGAATTCCATGCCTCACTGTGCTCCCAACTCAACACACTGGGTTTTGCTTCCTCTCTCTGAGCCCCAGTTTCTCATTTGTAAAATGAAGCTGAACTAGATGGTTTTTAAAGGCCTATCTGACTCCAAAATGCTATATGGAAAACAGGCTGTTGGTGTAGAAATACAGGGCTGGTGTGAAGGCCTCTCAAAACCCGTTTTCTCTTTGTCATTTATGCATCAGAAAATGACAGATGGCGAGACCTGGATAGGAAATGTCCTCTTCAGATTGACCAACCAAGCGCCAGCATCTGGGAATGCCTCCCTGAAAAGTGCCAGGACAGCTCACTGTGGCACCGGGAGGCGGTGACCACCTGTGCAGTGACCAGCCTGATCAAAGACCTCAGCATCAGTGACCACAATGGGAACCCCTCAGCACCCCCCAGCAAGCGCCAGTGCCGGTCACTGTCCTTCTCTGATGAGATGTCCAGCTGCCGGACGTCATGGCGGCCCTTGGGGTCCAAAGTCTGGACTCCTGTGGAGAAGAGACGGTGCTACAGCGGTGGCAGTGTCCAGCGCTACTCCAATGGCGCCAGCACCATGCAGAGGAGCTCCAGCTTCAGCCTCCCCTCCCGGGCCAATGGGCTGTCCTCTCCCTGCCACCAGGCGGGACTACACCGCTTTGGGGGACAGCCCAGCAGCCAAGGAGCACTGGGCTCATCCCCCTGTGGACAGGCAGGCGACCCTTGGAGCCCCGACCCACACCCTGTGGGGGGGGTGCGGCTAGACCTTCAGCGGTCCCTCTCCTGCTCACATGAGCAGTTTTCCTTCACAGAATATTGTCCACCCTCAGCCAACAGCACACCTGCCTCAACGCCAGAGCTGGTGAGACGTTCCAGCGGGCTGTCCCGTAGCCGCTCCCAGCCATGTGTCCTTAACGACAAGAAGGTTGGTGTGAAACGGCGGCGCCCTGAAGATGTGCAGGAGCAGAGGCCTTCCCTAGACCTTGCCAAGATGGCACAGGTAAGTGTCCCAGTGCTGCAAAGGGGGCGTCAAAAGCATTTCTGTGCTCATGGGAGCCTCTGCTGGTCCTGGTCTGTCCTGGCCAAGTGTACAATGCTGGTTTACAGAGATGCCCAGGAGTGGGTTAACTCCCTTGTTTTACAAATCTTATTCAAACGAAGATGATTTCAAGGTTTTTTTTAAGTGTCTATTTCTTTCTGTTTAAAATGAGACATGCTCTTTCCCTGTGACATACTCTGTTAGTGCTGCAAGAAGAGACAGATGGTAAAAGGCAGGCGTCGGCAGGCAATCCAGCGCGACCAAACACTATAGTGCTCTTCCAGCCCTTGCCTAAAGCCCTCTCTCCAGGACCCAGCCCTGAGGCTGCTGTGAGACATTCACATTCAGTGTCACTCACATTATGCTGACCCAAGATCAGGGTCACGGTCATGGTTTTAGAGAGCAAAGCAGTGGGGATGTGGGTATATTTCTTTGATTAAACTGTTGAAAATGTTAAACTGCCAAGAAATATGATCAGCATCCTGTGTGCCACCTCTGTTCTTGCCATTCCTGTAGTTAGAAGCCTCTGCCCACAAACCCCTGTCCTTTGAACTTCATCTTCTTTGTCTTGGGGCCCTGTCCTGTGCCAGTGTCAACCTGAATGAGAGGAACTTGAAGCTAGCACACTCTCAACTTGGATCTGAAGGCTGGCTGGATTTGGTTCTTTCCAGGGAGGCCCGGGAGTGTGAGCAAGATGGAAAGACCAAGGTATATGTTTGGATCTGTGACCACTGACTTTGTGTATACAGAATGGAGAACTGTTCTGTGTCCATCTAGAAAGCCATGTTGCACAGTGTCATGAGTTTGACCATCATCATTTTTCCAGTCCTATGACTAGAAACATCAATCACCTCTCGCCTTGCAGATCTGGAGATCCTGCTGGTGAGGATGGTCACTGTGCAGTTAGCCTTGCTCTTACAGCACCAGAACCAGATTCAGCGTAGGCTGGCTTGTGTCCACTCTGTTTCAGGTGGGGACAGTGTCAGTTCATAGAGTTTTCTTCTCTTCCCTTTAGTTATCCTTCCAGCCTAGAGGACCCCACAGAAGAAGTGGTTCATGTATGTCCAGTCTGGAACATACCTGGACTTGGAGTCCAGACTTTCTGGCCACTTTTCTTTTCTTT